TCACCTGCCAGCGGTGCAGCAGGCATCAGAGGCTTTGTCCCCAAATCCCGGGGCCTTTGCAATCAAAGGGGAATTATTATTCCTTTTTTCTTTGGCTGTATAGCAAGATCAAAAAAACAGCTGCTGCTTTCTATTACCTTTCAAGTCTCGGCTCTCTCCATCCAGCTAGCTGCACTGAAGGCTCCAGCCTTAACCCTTGCTGCGCTGCAGGCAAGCAGCTCGGCCGCGGCCCCGCAGTGCCAGCTCCCCGACCCCCCGCTACCCCAGCTCTCTCCTCCAAGCCCCTGTTTGCTTTGACCTGCTCTGGTGGCAGAAGCCTCCGCCCATCTCCCCACCAAAATTCCCTTTCTGGGAATGCTGCAGCCAACCGAAGTGCTCAGCAGAGCTCTTCGTTCAGAGACCAAACCCTCGCCCTTCTCCTGAGCCCCCCGTGCCCCGGGGCAGAAGCAAGGACCAGGGTTCGTGTGGTCTGATGGCTCTGGCAGAGCAAACTCTGCCAGTTGGCGCTTTCCTTTTTATTTCTTTAAGAAGTCTCATCTTTTTTTGTGATTCTAGAGTTTTTATCCTAATAACGCCGCCTTCTAAGGCTTTCAATAAATTGTTTTTAGCTTCCCACAGCCTTAGCAGGGAACCCAGCTTTTGCAGCCGTGATGATTAGAGGCCTTTTAAATCACGAAAGATGCTGGGGAAAATACAAAGTCTTCAGGGAGCAACCATTTGTTGTGCTTTTTTTTCTTCCTTGCAGAGCTAAATTTCTAACCCATGGAACTTTTAATCCTAAAATAACAGCAGAGGCAGAGACATGAGAGCTCCTATTGTTCGGAGAAGGCTGAGCCTGGCTGTGGTCCGTGCTGGCGGCACGCGGGGCTGGCTTCTTCCCCCCTTGCCACCTCCTCCCACTGCCCAAATGCTCCAGCTGCTGCCCAAAGCGATGGGGAAGGAGCAGCCGCCCGCCGAGCTCTCCCCTCCCAGCCTGTGCCAGCGTGGAGCCCTGCTCTGCAAACCCAGCGATTTCCGAAGTCCAGATGTGTGGATCTGCAGCTGGAGGCCAGTGCCCAGCTCCCACGCGGGTAGAGGACTCGGAGATAGCCGGGCTCGTGGTTTAACACTGCCCCGGGCTTTCAGCTCGTGTGTGCGCGGGGAGCAGCACGAACCAGGATCAAACCCCAGTGCCACACCTGCACGGGGCACTGGGACAGCAGCGGTGCTGGCTGAAAAGCATTAGCACAGCTCCACGGTCCATCTCATGCTTTGGAGCTACGCGACTTGGATGTTCCCAGCCTTCCCAAAGCTCTTCCCCATCTCTGTTTTTCCCCAGGACACAGATAATAGCTCAAGCCTCAGGTCTGCCCCCACTTCCACCCTCCTCCTCCAGTCTTACCAATTGCTCTTCCACGTGTGCCTCACATCTGTGTCGTGGATGCCGTGCTTATCTGCCTGCTCATCCAAGAAATCGAACATATACTTGATGGCCAGCGGGAGCGCGCTGCCTCGGTGCACGGTGCTGAACAGCGTCTCAAACAAGTCGTCCACAAATTTCTGCAGCGTACCCTAACGGGAGCAGCAACCGAGAAGGTGAAGGCAGGGACGGGCGCGGGCTTGGCTGAGCAGCGGTGGCAGGAGGGGATGCCAGATGGTGCTACCACCGCTGCACAGCCCGGCAAAGTGCCGCCGCGGACCCGCCGGAACAAGGGAGGTCGGGGTCCTTACGAACGCCGACTGTGCTGCCGGAGGACCCCGGGGGAGCGCTCCAGCCTGCACGGCTGCACTTTATTTCTAACCTGAAACAATTTCTTTTGCTTTCAAAACGTTATCTGCAGCGACGAACACGCAGGGAAAGGCAGGAAAACGCTCTCTGGCCAAGGAAACCGGTTAAATATTAACAGGCACTGCTGTGTCTCTCCCACTCTTTGTGTTTTAATGCCATGCAGAAGAATGAAGTATTGCAGCATTCACCTTGCAGTGAGGAAATCTGGGCTGCGTTTCCATCGCTGCTCCAGGAGCCACCCAACCCCTGGGGCCCAGGAAAGCCCAGCGGGAACAGGGCCCCCCAGCAGCTCAGCATCCTTAGGGACTGCACAGGACCCCCGGCAAATGCGTACAGATGGGCCCCCCTATGCATCTCCTGAGCAAATTTAGCGCATGGCAGTTACCTTTGTAGCTAACAGCCTGGTCAGGTAGATTTCGGACACCATCTTACTGCCCCGGTCTCCTTCCTTTTGGTCTCCGTGGTCGTGGTTTTTGACCAGGTGCCAGACCTTGACGCCGCTCTCCAGGTCGGGGGTGATCATGGGGGCCCGGGAGCGCAGGCTGTCAGGGCTGCCGGTGTAGCGGAAGGTGGAGTCTGAATGATGGGAAGAGAAGGTGGTCATGCTCAAAGCAAACCCCTTTTTCATTTCCCTGTCTCTTCTCAGTGACGCCACCGTGCTCGCTGATGCCAAAATCATCTGTGCTGGCTTTTTTTTTACAGGGTAATGAAATGTAATACAACCCAGGCACCAACAAAATTTGGTGTTTGCCCAAGATACGTGTTGGTCTTCACCAAAGAGTCCCTCAGACTCGAGCCTTTCTGTTTTCACACTCAGATGTGGGACTTTTCTGCTCCATTCACATCCTTTACTGACGTGAACTCGATAGTACGAGGCCGTGCAGGACATCTCCATGAGTTACGTAGGCTCATACACATGAACCCTGGGCACCAACTCCTGCGGCATCGGAGTCCCGATATCAGTATTTTGTAAATAATAACAAGCTGCCCGGCACAAAGGGCAGAAGAAAACTGCTGTGCTTGAGCCTTTCCTTAGAGCAACAGGGGCTCACGCTGAGCACCGACTGCAGAGCCCGAGGGTGGCCTCCCTGCTGTCCCCACGTCTGTCCTCCTTCCCAGCAGGGAACGGGGAGCTCAGAGGGGAGCAGACAAAGGCTTTTCCCTTAATTGCTCGGAAACCATGGAGGGGTGTGAGATATATTTAACTTCCCAAGGAATGTGCCTCCCTGGATCCCATCCACAGTGTCTCCAAGCTGAGACACAGTGCTGAGTAGCACAACCGTGCGTTATTGGGCTTTTCTTCCTCTCGCTAAATTTCTTTGTTCTCTGGGAACCTCGTGCATTTTCTCAAGTTTAGCCTCCAATTCACTGCTCACCCTCTGCAGTGAGAATAAGGGGATCAATCACAAATCAGCTGAGGGAAATACTCAAGTCATTACCAAACTAGCTAGATTTTCATCCCTGATTAAGGCTTAGATAAATGAGTACTCCAACTGATATAATTAAGGAGACAGACAGGGGGACAGCTAGGGAAGCATCTAGTAATTCTATTTTTAAACATAGCTCTGTACTGATATATAACGGGGGAAGTAAATAAGTATCTCATTTAAATTCTGTCTGCACAATTAGAAGTATTAATCTTAACATGAGCAATGATAGTTCACATTGGTAGTTTGCAAAAGCTTTTCCATCTGACATAGATCAACGAGCACTGAAGACTCAGGTTGTGTGACACAGCCTCGGTTTCTCCATCACCTGAAGCGAGGGAAGCGCTGGGCACTTGGGTGGACTACACCTTGCAGGGAGAAATGCCTTTTCTCCTGGCTTTTGCCTAAAGGTTCTCCTGTGGATGGCTCTTCAGAACCCTTGCTCGAGAAAAAAACCATTATTTTGGGAGCTATAAACAAGAGGAGGAGATGCGTTTGTCAGGAGCCCTCTCGTTTGTAAAACACTCTGTAAAATGAAAGATAATGAAAGATCAGCGCACTAGAGATTTTGCCACTGCTGCCTTTTATGGAAGTGTATTATTACTATTATTGTGGATTTAGTGCTATAAACGCACACCTGGCACCTCGCAGACTCATTTACTCAGGCTGCAGCGTCTTCAGGGACCCTCTGTAAAGTGCCGAGCCCTGCTATTATGCAAATAATGAATTCCCAGGTGTGCGCATCCGAGCATGCCGAGTTAAGATTGCCATTACCCGTTTTTGACCCATTAGCTAAGAATTGAGGATCTTCTACTTAGAGAAGAAATAGATGAAGGGATCAGGCTTTTCTCTGGTGCAGCCCTGCTTACGGGCAAGGGACATGAAATTGCTTTCCTGCAGCGGGAGCCCCACGGGTGCTCTGCAGCATTCATCCCCTCTGAGCCAAAATTCTTTCCCTGGGCTTTTCCAAGACCCACTTTTCCAAAGGCTGCTCATGTTATGCTTGGTATTGCCTTTTCCCTCCTCTCAGCTTCTCCGGTCTTTTTGCTGTTCTGCTCATAGAAGGAAAAGCCTTTGCAAAAAAACAGTAGCCAAGGACATTTTTCTGTTTGGCCCATGAACGTACTTTCATTTTGGCTGCCATGGTGTGGTTCTTTGGGGGAAGCTGCTGCTTTTCCCCCACCTAATTCCATTAAGGTGTCGCCCTCCTGCAACAAAGGCAGCTTCAATACCAGCCCCATCAGGACACATTCCCAAGTAAAGCTGCAAGCTCCAGGCTGGCTCTAAAACCGTGCAGTGCAGCAGGAGCAATGCCCAGTCAGTATCTGTGAGCCATTGTTTCCCGGCCCTTAACTCTGCTTCTTACCATATCTGCTAATAGACGTCCGGGATATACTGGCAGAGGCAGGAATGTTGTAGGAGGAGGTCTGTTTGGGAACGAGAGCCACAACTGAGCGGTCTGATACCTGGGGAAGAGAAGGAGAAGGAGAAGGAGAAGGAGAAGGAGAAGGAGAAGGAGAAGGAGAAGGAGAAGGAGAAGGAGAAGGAGAAGGAGAAGGAGAAGGAGAAGGAGAAGAAGGAGAAGGAGGAGAAGGAGGAGAAGGAGAATTGGGAGAAGGAGAAGGGGGAGAAGGAAGTAACATGAGGAGGAGGAACAACATTAAGAGGAACATGAGGAAAGAGAGGAACAAAAGGAGGAGGATGGAAAACAAAGAGAAGGAGGAGGAGAAGGAGGAGGAGGAGGAGGAGGAAGAGAAGGAGGAGGAGGAGGAAGAGAAGGAGGAGGAGGAGGAGGAGGAGGAAGAGGAGGAGAAGGAAGAGGAGGAGAAGGAGAAGAGAAAAAGAAAGAAGAGAAAAATCAGTGAGATCCACTGTCTGCACTGTGATCACCAGCTGCTCATCCAGCAAGTGCAGGAAACAGAATTCACCAGGGCCCAGGCTCGGCAGGGGAAGAGAAGGAGGAGGAGGAGGAAGAGAAGGAGGAGGAGGAGGAGGAGGAGGAAGAGGAGGAGAAGGAAGAGGAGGAGAAGGAGAAGAGAAAAAGAAAGAAGAGAAAAATCAGTGAGATCCACTGTCTGCACTGTGATCACCAGCTGCTCATCCAGCAAGTGCAGGAAACAGAATTCACCAGGGCCCAGGCTCGGCAGGGAGCCG